ACGGACGGACGGAAGTGACGTCAGCCAAGCCATGAAAAATCAACTCGATGGTTTACCATTTTTTCTTAAGTATGGTGCTCGCCCTTCCACCGTCCAGCTCATTACAGCGAAATCAAGAAATGTTGCAGTTGAGAAGTCAATTAGTTCACTTTTTCCTGCTCAATCCGCCGTACAGGTCACCACAGTGGTCGAGCAAAACACCACGATGGCTACAGGAGTCCAAGTAAAGCCACTGATGCATTCTTGCGACTCAGTTTTTGAAAAAATTACAGTTCCGCAAAATGTTCAGATAATTTGTGATGCAGCCAAGCGCCAAAGAAAATTGCTAAATCGACTTCTCCTCAGTCAAATTAACTTTAAAACTTTCTTTTGAATGAAAACTTTTAAGAATACATTTAGGAACCGCTTCCCTTGCATGAATTTTTCGGAAAAAGCTTTAAAAATGAAGCCGGTTTTAAATACAAATTGAGCTGTTTTTGCTCCGAACACGAGACTTGACTGATTTCAAATTTGGCTCGTAAAGTATCGTGCTCGCATCTTAGGAGAATCTGTGATTTTAATCAGTGCGAAATAAACAGTTTTTATCGTGTAAAGGTGTTCTTTATGTTATAAAAGCATTGACCATTGCTTAACACCATTGCTTAAATAGCCTTCATCAGAATGATGAGGAAAATGTGTGAAGCGTCGTAGACTTTGAAGCGGCAAAATTTAAGCAGTACCTCCAGGGAGAGCTCACATTATGACGACCGTTCGCATTCTTGTCATAACTTTAATCTAGGTTGATCGCCAAGAGGCTAATCGCTGTGGTGGTTTACGTATAAAATCCGATATTTTGGTGCAGATATTCTGGTTTGAAGGACCGAGGATTCCTGTGGACATTAGTTTATTTATTTACTGTGAAACAAGTTTCCTACCTTTTCWAATTTTAAAAGGGGAAAAAAATAACTATAGCTCGTGAAATACTGAAGGGATTGACCCCAAACTCATTCAAGGCCCCCCATGGGATCAATATAAACAACTTAGTCAAAAAAAAAAAAAAAAAAAAAAAAAAAAAAAAAAAAAAAAAAAAAATTGAAACGAACTTTTAGCTGTTTTTTAAATTTTATATTACTAGAAGATCATCGCACTTCTCAGGGACTTCGGTCAAGCCCATTTTTTATTTGCTCATCGAACTTCTATGATGCGAAGTTCACTTCACCATACAACTCCACCACATCGAACTTCACCAAACGAAGTTTGAGAGGGAAAACATTGGAAAAAAACAGGGAATATTTCCTGACTCATTAAAAACTGTGAAGGTGATCCCAATTTTTAAACAAGGCAGTAAACAGTTATGTAATAATTATCGTCCAATATCAGTCCTTTCAGTTCTCTGTAAATTGAATGAAAAATGTGTGTATCAACAACTTCTATTTTATATGTCGACCGAAAATATTTTAGCTCCAAATCAATATGGCTTCAGACCTGGTCTTACAACCATAGACTGTTTACTTGATGTTATTGATGAAATAACAAGCAGTTTAGACCAAAACAAATTTTCAGTGGCATTATTCCTAGATTTCTGTAAGGCGTTCGACACAGTTCATCATATCATAATGTTAGACAAGCCTTCTTACTATGGGAAAAAAAGATATTGAAAATGCCTGGTTTAGGTCTTACCTAAAAAATAGGACTCAAAAATACTTCGCGAATGGCAGTTTTTCTGACTTGCAAATTATACAATAGGGAGTCCCGCAAGGATCTATATTGGGCCCGATATTGTTCTTAATATATATAACTGACTTCTCGAAGGCTACCAATCTTTTAACTGTAAGGCATTATGCTGATGATACTTCTCTGACTGTGTCTGGAGGAAAGCTCAGCGAACTCCTAATCCAAATTAACACAGAACTTCCAAATATTTATGACTGGCTTTGTGCCAACAAACTTACTTTGAACATCAGAAAAAATCTGTTAACATTTGGTCAGCTACGATTTCAAGCTCACGCCCCCTCATGTGAGCCCATACAAATTATGTSTCAAAAACACGGTTTTTGGATCTTTTCTCAAAATAATGACTATCTAGGCAAAAAACAKAAGTGGATTCAGTTAATTCAATTATTCACGGACTGTATTATATGGATTAGATTGAATTCAATTGAAAAAAACCACCGTACTTTTTGAGTTGAATGTACGCTGTTGGATGTATTTTACAAGAGAAAATGCATGACATAACCGGGGTCAAGCTAGAAAATCGTCTCTCCTTGAAATAAAACAGAACCTGTCATAAAACAGAAGTGCATTTGAAAACCCCGGGCTTTCCTGAACATTTTGGTATATAATTCATAGGAAGTGACATCATGAAGTGACATAATCACACCTGGTATCTGTATAGATCACATTTATTTTTAGAACAACCCTATTATAACGTCAAAAGCCTTTTGAACTAATCAGAGTCCGCTTCCGAACACCCTCCTGGATAGGTCATAACTACTTTTAGAACATCCCGTATAATGACATGTGCGGATGTTAGAACCAATCCGGTACTGTTTTGGTCCGGTGCTACCTTGCTCTCTTTGGATCTATTCTTAGCTCCCTCTTATGTCTTAACCATAACTTAGTATATAGAGCTAGGTAGAATATTTCTATTTTAGAACATCTCTGATTTTAGGATATAGAATAGATGCAATGTTTATTAAAGTTTTCGGAACATATCCTGGTTTTATTCAAAAGGGAGAAAAATGAGGTGGCACGAATACGAAAATGTATACATTTTTGGGGCAAAACATGAGACCGAGGCAAAATGCAGTGGAGCGAGAAATCTATTAAGAAGTCAAAATGACTGGACCGCTTGCCAGTTGACGGGTAAACAAAGAGATACGACTCGATTATAATAGTTCTTTGTATAGTTTATTATTTTTATAAGTAGAAAAGTATTACAGTGTGCATATTGTCAACTAATTAAATGATTTACACGAACGTATGTTTTTAAACAAATTGTCCGGCTTCTACAGTGTCTTCCAACCTAGATCGCTTAACTTTATAGCACCGTCTTCTACTAATAACAATTTTCGTTTCTATATAGCTGCGAAACAGCTTTGTTACGCTTGACAGAAGATTGGAGGGCAATGCGCGATAAGGGGGAGCTAGTTGCGGTGATGTCGATGGACCTATCTAAAGCGTTTGACGTTATCCAGCATGATTTATTGTTGACTAAACTAAAAGCGTATGGTGTTGGTGAGAGAAGTTGTGCGCTTCTGAAAGACTATCTCACTGGGAGACAGCAGAGGGTGAAGATAGGAGACACTTTCTCTAGCTAGGAGGGCGTTGGCCGTGGAGTTCCTCAGGGTAGCGTCTTAGGACCAATGCTATTCAACATATTCATAAACGATTTGTTTTTCCACGTCACAGAAGCCAAGTTAAATGCATATGCGGACGATCATCAAGTATACTGTTCAGGCACTGATCCAGCAGAACTTGAACACTGTTTATGTAATGAAGTAGCTAAAGCAAACACATGGTATAAGGTGAACGCAATGAAAGTTAACGAAACCAAGCACCAAGCGCTGATTTTGGGAAAAACTGACCACAAATTCTCATTCCCTGTGAAAGATTCTCTGGACATTTTTGGAATGAATATAGACAATAAGCTCTCCTTTGRCAATCACATCTCCGCCATTTGCAAAAAGATCAACAATCAGTTTAATGTTATGTTAAGATTTAGAAAACTTATCTCAAGGGACACTCTAATAAAGCTGTATAAGGCTTTCATTTTGCCGCATTTTCATTACTGCTCGTCGGTGTGGCATTTTTGCGGTG